ACATATATGTGTGTGTGCAATAAATGTAAAGTATTTTAGCATAGCTTAAGAAGACACATACGTAGGTCTATGTGTGAATGTGAAGGCGTGTGTGTGATTGAACTGCATCGTACGCACATGTGCGCGCGGACCACCAACTACCACACCAGTCGCATGGTCAAATGAACCTCCATGCATAGAGCCACATCATTACAGTGGCCACATAGACACACAGGGGTCCATATGGTCAAGCGTCTGTTATAGCTGCTGTATAGGACAGAGGTTGAGTGCGTGTGTACAGTATCGAACATCGATGTCAACACACACAGCTCATACCTTCACACGTTATAGGGCAGGTGCAAACCAGCTGGCATTTCATGTATACACGCAGTCACATCTTTAAGGCTTTAAGGCTTTAAGGTATATACACTATCTGTATACACACAGTCACACTCATAGGGTTATAAGGTATAGACACAATCGTCTCAGCTGCACTGCGGTAGTGTATTACCTGAAGAGCGAGAAGCACCCTGGGCAGCAGAGCACAGAGCCTGTTACACTCTCAAACGTCTTCATAAGCCAATGCCCAATGCTGTACTCGAAGATCTGTACGTGTAGGCATGTGCGTATGGGCAATACAAGTCCTTGTGTGTGTGTGTAGGTGTGTGCACATGTGCATGGATGCGGTTCTACCCCAAGTGTGTGTGCGTGTGTGTGTGGGCGTGTGCAGGTGTACATAGGTGGATATATGTACGTACTCAAGTGTGTGTGTGTGTGGGCGTGTGCAGGTGCACATAGGTGGATATATATACGTACCCAAGGTGTTTGCGTGTGTGCAGGTGTACATAGGTGGATATATGTACGTACCCAAGTGTGCGTGTGTGTGTGTGGGCGTGTGCAGGTGTACATAAGTGAATATATACATGTACCCAAGTGTGCGTGTGAGTGTGTGCGTGCGTGTCATGTAGTGTTAGTGTGTACTACCTGGACTATTGCTCAACTGAATGTTTTTAAGTCAATATCTAATGCGGCACCCAACAGCACGTACCTGAAACCAGGCAACGGGCGACTTGCCCACGGGATGGATGCGCGCACACACAGCCCCTACAGTCTCGTCTCGCATCAGATACAACAGAAGGTCTTCCACCGATGTGTAGTCAAAGCCAACATCTCCATCTGTGCATGAAAGTGTATATCCTGTCTAGTTACCTGCTTTCCCGATATGAGCCTGAAGATATGTATATATACGGTTGTTGTAACCGTATCTTCAGTTATATGTACGTATGAGAGGTATGCTGTGAGCTTAGTTTGGGCATTGTGTTTGGTTTTATGTCCACATCCAAGATCTTTTAAATCTTGACTATAAACTGTATAGATAGTCTGAATACATCCAGTCTCTCAATACACTTACAAGTAGTATAAATAGGCCGTATAATAATTATTTAACCTGACTCAATCACAACATACCAGTAGTCAAGATAAACTTGTTTGTGTACGAGTCCGTCCCATTCTTAGCGGGGCTGCAGCGAAAGTGTAGGATGTAGAACAGATACTGGACCTGTACAACGAGGGGTATAGCATCAGCACCACCCAAAACGTTAAAGGAGAAAGAGAGGCAAAGGACTGATAGTGGCGACATCTATAGACTATGACTATGTACAGGAACGTGGATATGGATGTTAAAAGGTTAAAAGGAGACATCTGCACACGGGAAGACGGAAGAGATATGCGTGCATACAATTGTATGCGATCGCCTATTATAAAGACATTGGATGCTGTACACGAATGTACATCCGCAGATGACTGGTAATCATGCTTTGTTTTTTTTTAGCATTACGTATACAATATACTGGTTCATACATATCTTTTTATGTGCATGGTAATCTATGATCTATAAATGCAAACGCTAGTAGATTCGCGCATATATATACATATATATACATATATATATGTATCCATATATATATATATATATATATATATATATATATATATATATATATATATATATATATATATATATATATATATATATATATATATATATATATATATATATATATATATATATATATATATATATATATA